CACCCTCCTTCTCCCCCTCCCGCCGCTGTCAAGTGCTCGCGCTGCCAAAGTTTGGGCCTCCAGCTCCCCCCCTTCCCCGCCGAACTGCCCTCCCTTCCTCTCTTCCCACCCCTGGAGCGCGCACAACACCCGCACACGCAACGCACACACACACAGCCACACACACACCCCGACACACCATCACCACCTGACCAACAGCGCCAATTACCGCGCGGGGCCGCGGACCCCGGATCAGGAAATGGAAGGAGGGCGAGCAGGGGCGCGGGGCAGCTCCGCGGACCCGCCGCCCTCCGCCGCCCCGACGGGCGGCCCGCTCCGCACCGGCCCCCAGAGCAGCCGGAGCCAAATCGAGCRGTGTCAGGGCAGAAAACAGCAGCAACAACAACAACAAAAAAACACCCCTGCCAAACTGACAGTTTTCCCCCCAAACATWTTCCCCATCGGAAAACTGGGCGCCAAGTGGAAAACGAGCGGCCCGACGGCGCGGGGCAGAGCGGGCGGCGTTGCGCGGGGCGCTGCAGCGCGCTTTGGAGCGACTCTGTGCCCAAAATAGCCCGCGGGGGGCGGAGGGGGGTTGTGCTGCGCGGCTGCAGGCGCTGCCCTCGCTGCGCTGCGTCCCGCGGGCGCGCAGCACTGGCGGAGCCGGCGCTTGCCTGGCCCTCTGCCCCTCCGYAGCCGCTGTAACTGGAGGAATAGATGCCAGAGTTAGTACGGACGTCGCGGAAAGGCCGGAGAGAGGCTTTTTAAGTGCCTGGCGGGGTGTGAGGGATGGAGAGAGCCTGGAAATAACGGGAAAGAAAGGGGGAAGGGAGGCAGGGAAGGAGAATACGTTCATATCAAATACTTCCTAACAACGGAAGGGCTAAGAGCGAATCTTTCCCCCTGCATAGTAGCGCTTCCCATACTACGAAGTCCACTATGCCTGTTTGCTATGGCTTTATTTACTTCTATTTACTTATTTATTTATTTATTTATTTATTTTATTTATTTATTCCTCGAGAAATCGCCACCGCCTTCGCAGAAGTACCCCCCAAAGCCTGGCGCAGGAAAGAGAGGGCACTCTGGCATTTCTGCATTGCTAAAACTGAGACTCTTAACGATATTTGCAGCTCAGAGGGAAAAGAGGCAATCGCCCTGACCTTAGGTAATTGAAATTGGATGGTTGAACTAATTAGACGTTTATTCTAAGGGGAGAAAAATACTTATTGAACATCATCTATTCTTGTAGAATGGAAGTTAGAAGTGAACTTTTCAGATCCCCCACTTTTTTTTTTTTTTTTTTTTTTTTTTTCCAGGGGACAATATGAACACACAGAAATATTTACCGCACTGCTTCGTGAATATAATTGCTGAGTGGGTAATCTCATCTTCTGCTACGGGAAAATACCTCTAATACATCACACGTAAATATGATACGTTTTAGATCTTCCCCTCCTAAAGATATTACATTAACAGTTAGCCTGGTTTAAATTCAGATTATTGTCTTTTCAGTTTTATAGATAATTGATACATGCAATAAAATTCTATCTGAATATATATTCTACCTAACTAGACACATATCGTATCGATTTATATTTTATACACATACACACGCACATTGCAGACGGCTTGTAATATGTTAGAACATTTCCAACACTTGGGTGTACTGGGGTACTTATCTAAACAATCACTCATTTCCTGCTCATATCGAATGTCCAATTTGTAAAGAGAGTTAAAACACATTTACTTACTCATTTCCAACAGAACATCTATGGAGCTCTTTAACTGGTGTAATAGATAAGTTTCTCTATTTACTCTGCACGGAGAGGAAATGCGGTTACACACACGCAGACACAGACAGCCGCAACTGTTCAGCAACACATTTCTGACAGGAAAATGGAGATTGTTTTATTAAAAAAAAAAAAAAAAAAAGAATGAAAGAAAAAAACATCTATATAATAAAAGAGTAAAGCTCCAGCCTACGTTGCTATGAAAATAAAAGCTTCTCAAAGACCGCCACGAGGAGAGAGCATTTTCCCGGCGTAAAGAGGCTCAACACGCACACAGAGAGACACATTCGTACGAATACCTGCTGGGCGGCACCAGATGAATTACCCTCGATTATCGTAAATATTGTCCTCGGCACAAGGAGGCAAGTCCTGAGCCACCGGGGCTGGAGCATTGCAGCAGATCCCCGCGCTTCCAAGCCACAGCGAAACACAACGAAAACTGGTCCCTCAACTCGAATGCTCAGTGCTATATTTGGAGAGGTGACCAGGTTCTGTTTCGCATTATTTATCGCGATTAGATCGCGACGGATACTTGTTTAACTGCACCGCTTTCTACCGTGTGGCTCTGGTGCTCGGTTAAGCCGAGAAGGATGCAATTTTGTACACGACTGTAAATCTACAAGGTGACCCGAGCTGCTGGGCTGAAGTCTGTTTTTTTCCTGTGGCTCTATTAGTCTGAGAAGATGTGCTGAGGCAGGACCTCCAAAAGGCCTGTTCCATGTCTTTGTGGTTTTGTTATCATAAACAAGAGCCCAGCCAAGACCACCAAGTGTTATCTTGCACACGGCCATTTCGACATTTTACTGCAAGATTTATGGCTGTAATAAACAATCTCAGAACCCTTTTTTTTTTTTTTTTCCCCCACCGGTACTTCCCTTTACAAACTTGTAGCATCACCGTAGGCGCTTAAAGAGAGAAAAGGAAAGGAGAGAAAAAAAAATTGAAGAAATATTTTAAAAGGAAGTGGGATCCTTTTTTCTTTTATTACATACAGATATATATTATATAAAGCTCTATTTCACTGGCGAAGGAGACATGGATCGGGTAATAAAGGACCGAGAGTTTAGCAGCCGAATCAGGCCAAGGCAAGGAGGAGATGGGGAGTGCACTGAAATGAAGTGGAGAGGGAGAGAGTTAATTTCCATGCACCAAGAAGAGCCGTCCTCATACATACCCAAAGGGTGGCACAGGGGCATCTCCCTGTTCCTTGGGAGCATGCAAGCACATCTGCTACCTTCCACGTGCGCCACTACGGCTTAGTAGCCACGAAAGAGAAAATAATAACAATAATTCTAATAGTAATAATAATTCAAGGCAACCTTTCGCCGTGCCGGGGCACCCTGCACGCAGAGTGCGTGGAGGAGAAAGAATCGCACTAGCAGCTCGATTTGAATTGGATTTGAACCATTTTGAATATATTTAGCCCCAGCTTTCCGCTCCTGAATGCGAGGCTGTCCCAAGTTTCAAAGTGACCGAAAAGTGACACCGTGTGCATTTTGTTTCTTATTAATCTTACACATTGACAGTCTTTGTTAAATAACAAGGCGTGCCCTTCACCAGGCGACATTTTCATATTTGTTAGACGCGGTGACCTGAAGTTCACCTCGGCCTTGGACTTAGTTTTTCTAAAAGGTCTATAAGAGTGTCTTTTAGATAGCAGGGTGCTTTGCCCAGGTCACTACTTCTAAGGGAAAATTAAGAAAAAAAATCGCGGGAAAATGTAAACGTTATGGAATGTATCGACTGTATCCCCTCCTTTGTTCCCGGCACTCCGAGAGCCCTCGGGACAGCTACTGCCTTTCGCCTTTGCAAGCGGGTGTTTTCCCTGGCCGCTACTGGGGCAAGGCTCCCTTTTTTTTTTTTAATTTTTATTTTTTTTTTATTTTTATTTTTCCCCATTTGCAAAAGCGATGGTTTCTCTGACATAGGTAATGCTCCTAACAATTGGGCGTTTTGACGGGATTTACTCGCTCAGTCCTGGCGTGGTTAAATAAACACATATAAACTGGGATTTGTGGTGGGGTTTGCAATGAATGGTCTTTTGACTGGACCTTCCACGTCAAAGTGCCAGGGGTTGAATRCAGAGGGTGAAAGGGAAGAAATAGTTCGTCTAAAATTAATAATTGTTGTGCTCCTTATTCTTTCAAAGGATAATTCAAACATCAATTAAGAAGAGTCAACATTTATTGAAGTTTCAGCATCAACCTCTTTGAAAATATTCTCATTGATATTTTTACTCTGAACTAGCTTGGAAATACGGAATTCGAGCGACTAATTGTTTTGGTAAGGAAACATGTATTTCAGGCGCCTATTCTTGAGCTGCCTGGTTATAGTAACAGCTTTCGTTCGGGGTGTATCAAAGATGCATTGTTATTCTTGGAAACAATCTGCCTACTATTCTTTAACAAAATAGATATTTGGSTACGGTTTTTAGCTTGCTATCAGACTTTGCTCCCACTCCAAATAAATACTCTGGATGTGAGAGGTTGTAGACTATCTCCAGTGAGAATGGGATCCCCAAACGTGTAATACAGGGGCTCACGACACGATAGCAGCAGCAGGATCTTGTGAACAGTGTCTACATGCCGAGCAAAGACCTATGTAGACTTTCTACGCTCCAGCAGGTACTTTAGGCAAAATCTTCAATATTAACGTTGACTWATCTGAAATCTAACACCTCACATATTTATTCTTGAAAAAATATCCCTAGAATACTCTGATCCAGCTGTGCCTCTGGCAAATAATTCACTTGTGCTCAGTGCATGGAAGAAGCTATAGGCGCCTGCTTTGGGATTCGGGAAGCAGCTATGCATGCATGGTGGCGAGGTGCACTCTTCCTCTGGCTGCCTCTTTGGGCTRCCTCCACACCTTCCACATCTGTTTCTGCACATTTTTGATTATCCTTTCCCTTTTCCACGGACTCCCGGTCTCACGGGGAGGATATGGAGCCCTCTTCCCTAAAAATGACCTGGTTCTTCCAGACACACCTAACTGCAAACTTCAACACTAAGGTGTCTTTGGAAACGACAACAAAAAMAAACAAAAGAAAAATCCTAGCTCCACGAAAATAACTCCCTTCACAGAGAAATCCCATTAAATATTTTTTGGGGGGAGGAGGGAGAAAGGAGATCCCCTGTTGCCTCCCAGACCCCTGTTTCCCAGAAGGGCCGTTTCGGGGTGCCCGCAGCAGCCTCGGGACCCCCGCCCTTCGTGGGACACCCATGTTTTCCATCGGCAGCTCGCTATGGTCCCATTTCTCTGCATTTCCAACGAGCTCTTTCGGACTAAGCGTACAACCAGCCAGTACCATCTCCAGCATGTCCCGTTTAAGCGCAGCTTAATTTAAGCGCTACAGAAATAAGAGCAAAAACAAAGACGCACCTTGGATCGATACACGCGTTAATAGCTTTGCTCCTATCTTATCTTCCTGCCATTTTGCCAAGTGAGAAGGCTTAACATTAAACCTCTTTAAGCGGGTTATTATATAATAAACAAGGGTGAAATATCTCGCTACCTGACGCTTGGAGGAGGCAGCGCCAGTTTCTGCCGTGGGAGGATCACGCGTGTTTACCTGCAGCGCTGAACCCGAGATATTCAGCTACAAAAGTGGSCGATAATTCAAGATGAAATACAACGTGTATTACTCTTGAAAAGAGGAATTTTCTATCCTTTCCTCGGTAATTGAGGTCATTCAGCCAGTAGGGTTCACCTGGAGTCCATACTGTGATACACACGTAACTCAAAGCTATTTTATCTTTTGTGCTGATAGTCAAGATCTCGGCTATAACATTGACATCAAACTCTGTCTGGGCGAATGACTAAGAGTGGTGCAAAACGTAAACTTTTGACCCTCAACTTTTTGACCTGCAGTTGTAACGCCCTTAACCACAAAGATATACAAAAGCTATGCAGCTTCTTTTAGGAGTAAGAGACTCGCACTGTTTGTTTCAATAGTTCTGCCGTTTCCCCAGYTTTCTATGTTGTTTTTTTTTTWAATTTAAATTTAAATTTTCATTATTATTATTCTTTATTTCGTCTTGTTGGTGAGAAACTGGATATTTTGGGTTTTTAATTATTGCATTTTTTTTTTTTTTAATCCTTCGGCTTGCTAAAGTGCTGTTAAATCAGTTCACACACCCTTTCGCCAGCGTTGGAGGGAAGGCTGTTGCTCAAAGGCGCTTTATGGTTACAATTGCAGGTGAAATGCTGGGTAAGTTTGGGGCGTGAGGCTGGAAGGAATGGAGTGACCAGCGACGGGGGGAAAGCCGGGGCTCTCTGCTGCTGGGCTCGTAGTCCTTTCGCCTTGATTTAAACATAAAGAAACAACTCTAATTGTTTGCGAAGCCTTGTCTAGGCAAACGAGTTGACTGTGAACTTGGTCTAAAGCGAGCTCTGCTGGTGATTCCTAGGGTGTGCAGATTTATCTTTTCTGCATTTACTTAACCTGGCAGTGAACTGCACGGGCTGCCATTTGTTATCCAGAGACAGACTTCACCTCAAGCAAGGACTGTTCCACAAAATTGCAATAATTACCCAATAACCTTCATAGCAAATATTATTATTGAAAAGACATTTTTTTTTTGAGGGGAGGATGTAGGAATTATTCCTTCTGTGGCGAAATAAGGCGAAATTCTTGCAAATCTGACACGCTGTCTGTGTCAGGTCTGGTATTGTTGTGCGTGGGGCTGCACGAACATGTGACTGTGATGGTCCATGAGCATTTTCCTTCCAGAGGGACATTAGTGAGGATGCTTTAATTTAAAAGGGATATTTTCGAAGATGAGCAGGAGGCTGTTGGAGTTGTATTTCTGTGCTCTGAGCAGCAACTCCAACAATAAATTGGGAGCATTTTTAAAGGCAGGAAAGAGGGAAAGCTAGAAATGCAAAGTGGTGACTTAACTTGGTCAGGAGATTTGCTTATGCTTGCATTTAATGTGTTAAATCTGTATTTGCGGGGAGGGAAAAGGCATTGCTCCAGTATCCAGGGTTTGAAATCGAAACCTCCCGATCCGCCCCTCATGATCTGTTCCATTCAATTTCCCATGCAGCAGATTGCGAACCCTTCTATTGTCACCCTTGCACAGATACACACTTATTAAATGTAAGGAAATGGCAGAATAATAATTTCCCCATAATGTTCTGCAATTAGGGCGTTTGCAGGGCTTAGCCAACGCTGCAGAGCTGTAATTTACGGATGACTTTCGCTCGAATTGTTATACTYCTGCTCTGGAGAAAGTTCTGACTTTTAAAGTCACTAGTTACACACATTAGGAGAATTGMCTAATCTTTAATTGGCCTTACGCTCAGACATGACACACTACACTCAAGTATTTCTTTCAAAGGATTAGGTAAACTATATTTCAGGGCACTGAACGCCACTTGCCATGCCTTAAGTAAAACAAACTCGCACGCACTAATCCTCAAAACACAGTAGGAAAATAATGTGCGCAGATAAGAACTGTATCTCGATTCCAAGCGATTATTCTCTATGGCATTTTCACTCAGAAAACAATTAGGACCTGGGATTTTTTTTTTTTTTTTTTTTTTTTTTTTTTTTTTTTTTTTGAGAGAGCTCGACGGAATTGGAATAATTCTGAAGTTATTCCAATTTTCATTTGCGAAGTGGATTATAAAGCCTTAATGCATTGCTGGGTTTAAAAGGACATAAACTGTCCTGCTTTGGACAGGGCAGGGCCAGAAATACTGGGAAAAAATAGCTCTTTCTAGATTATTTTGTTCTTGCGGAGTTGCTTACAGTAGGTGTTGGTTTATATGTCTGTGAGGTTTCCTG